TAACCGCGCCGAGATATAATTTTATCAATCGGTTTTTATTAGTAAAACTTTATACATAATGTAAAATTATCATATAAAATAGTCTCACATTTGTCATCAAATCCAAAAATGACACTCTAATTATATTCTGAATACCCGAGAAAAAATGATATAAAATAGTCAGATGTAAATATATATAATTAGTTATGAAAAGATCTGATAACATGTAATATTTTATATGATCACATAAAATTACATATGTTATTACATCTTTTCGTAACTAATTATATATATTTACATCTGACCAATTATACCATTTTTTCTCGGGTACTGTCTGAATTTTATACATTCTGATTTACTGCAAAAGCTAAGTATAATTTTAAAATTGGTTTAAAATAAAATTCTAAAATAAAAAACCAAATTTATTTGAGTTACGATAGTTTTGCGTCGGCAGTGCGATAAGATTAATTCGAGTATTATATATAATCGGATTAAAAGAAATATTTTATGCATGTTTTTCTAACGCTTTCCACTTTTTACACTTCATTTTTAATTTATTACATTTATCGTCTTTATATATATATATTATACTTTTACTTTTAATTTTAATATTTCATTTTAATTCATTATAAAAGCATGCCATGAAAACTTTATTAATACTCCTTTCAAGCTTATTAACGCAAAATGTGACACAATTTATGGGATTAAATTAATTGCGAAATTACATTATCCAAGAATTAGTCAAATTTGCGAACTAAAAATTATCACCAGAAGATGTTTATGATTAATGATTTGATTAAGGCCATCCTGTAACAGAATTCAATGTAACAGAGGTAAAAGCATTGTATTGTTTCGTTATGGCGATAGCGATCAGCGAATGCGTTTACCTCAGGTACGCTCGTGAATATTCAAATCAGCGGCAGCGTATATTGTCCAGCGGCGAGAGGCATTGAATTTTAATCTCGACCGGCTTTCGACGTACGTACGTACGCGCGTATTGCCGTGCGAGCTTCTACCGACGCTATCTTACTAATTAACTGCATACCCGCTGCAGTTGCGCGCGCGCGCGCGCTCCCTTGCGACCGCTGAACTTTGACCCGAATTGCACGGTAAACGATTCAATCGTGGCATCGACGCCTCTCTACCACTCTATCACGACGCTCGCGCAGGTGTACTTAATCGACCGTCTGATGACGACTCGGCGACGTGTTCACGGTCGTGCGATCGAGTAATACAAATCGATCGCGTAATCGCAGCGATCCGTAATAGGCGGCAGTTATCGCCGTCTGGAATTAGCAGCGAGTGTAATTCAGCGTAGTCGTGAGGCTTAATGTCGTTGTCGTGTTATCCGCTTTATTACGTCGACGGGATGGATGGGCTGTAATTTCAGCGATGCTGAAATGATCGCCGCCGGTTTATGCGCGAATTAGTTTCTCAGGGGAAAAACGAAGACGGATCGCATCTGGAAACAATAGACAGCGCGCAACGATGTGCTACTCGTGCAACATCAAGCAACTGCCCCGGAGAACATAACGCGTTTCGCAGCTACGATATAATGCATCTAGACGTCGCGAGAATATGCGAGAAATGCGCAAATTGTACCGGGTGCGATTGCAATTGCGCAATCCACAGCTTCCGGGTCTGAAAATGTAAATGTAATTGCTGAAGTTGGGAAAGTCAAACTTTTTGTCAAAAGAGCGCTGCTTATATTATATGCTGTAAAAACTGAAGTAAAACTTTAGTACGCTAGAAGTATATTAAAACGAACAATTGTATTTTTTAACTTTATCAAGATAAATTGTAATATAAAATGAGTTTATATTAAATACATTTTAAATTATTGAGTTGGCAATTAAGTTCCAATGTGCTTGATAACCGACGAACAATTAATTTTTAAAAGTTTTGTTTCGATTGTTAGAAAAATCTTTTCACGACTAAATTTCACTTCTCCACAAAACTGAAAAGTGCACCTTGAACAGTTTTCCGCCTAGAAAACTGCGAAATTTTAGGAAAAATTTTTTAATCATTAAATAAAGAGTTGCTAAAAAAATATTTGGTTAAAGTTTTTCAAACGTTTTAAAAGCCGAACAAATTTAATTGCCAATTTAATATAAAGCGAAATTTAATTCAAAAGATATTGTAAACGATTATATGCCGTAAGGAAGCATTTCAAGTCATCGTAAAAAACGTTTTACTCCAAAAATGTAAATATCCGTCCACAAACTGCCATTGCGGCGAAATGCAAAGACCGGCGCGTACTTCAACATTGCCCAGCTGCAAGAATACACGGGCGAAAAGTTTCACGCTGTATATCGCGAAGCACGAGATGAGATCGTAATCAGGGCGCTCTGTGCAATGATCATCCAGACGTCCTTCTGCCCGCCGCGAAATGCCAATCAGGATAAACGAAAGCCGCCCTCCATCCCGTCGCCGCTACACACTCGTCGCTTCGTGACGTCTGCGATACGGAAGACTACTTCAACAACTCCGCTCGACGCGTCCTCTATTGCGACCCGCACGGCCCTTTTTTCCGTTCATCCTCAACGAAGAGGACGAAAAGTCGGATTTACAAGATAAGAATATTAAATAAGAAGATTAGGAATATCGAGGTATTAAGGGTAGATGAGTACACATTGGTCGAGCAAATTAAGAAAAATCCGCATATCGATCGCGGGCTTACCTTTAATATGACTTCTCCTCTGCAAACGAGCTCGAACGTGCCGAAGGTGTCCAGGATTTCCTTCGTCTTTGGGCTGACGTGGATCTTTAAAGCTGTCGTGGACAAAAGAGAAAAAAGGACTTCTTTTACGCACGTTCCGTAATCTCGTTACAGCGCTAATTGGGGCACTCCTTTGATATAGAAGTAATTACGTGAATGTCCGATATAAAGCATATTTTTAGCAGCTGCTTCGCTACACGTAGATTCTTCGTCGCGTATTGACTTTCAAGTATCAAAGCTGAGTATAAAATAATGAAAGAATTAATAACGATTAGATCAGCTAATAAATGTAAAATACAAATGCAAAAATTCTGAATAACTCTCTTTTAAACTTTTCATTTCAAACGTATTTTATTTTCGCTGGAACTAGTATTTTTAGGTACTAATCTAAAGATTCTGTTTGTTTTAATATTATTTAAATCTATAAAATAAACCATCGCGGCAAAAAGGCTTATATTGTGCTTTCTCCGCAGGCTGCCTCAAATATTGGAATTGACGTTTGACGATCGGCGAATATAAAGGAAAAAAGAATTTCGTCAGATTCAAATTCACATAGGAGCTTTTTAAAGTAACTGTGCGTAACAAGAGTAAGCTCGCTTTGAACCTTTCGCTGCTTCTGGTGACAGTGCGCTCTTTGTGGACTAAATATAATTTGAACACTACACCGCGGCGCACGTCGCGACATTCATGAATTTCATATACCTTTGACAGTCTCAACTATCCTGCTGTTATCATTTTCTGTGCCACTGGATAACTGGACATGTCCCAGAAACGTCGATTTTAATTTTAATATCGGATTTTAAGAATTTTTTTGTCACTAAAAATAAAAGAATCAATGACTTTTAAGTCATACAACATTAAAAAATAAATAATGCTTTACTTGTGTTCCAATCTTGAATTCAAGCGTGCACATCCACAGATGTAAACATATGATAAATTCTCAAGATTTATGTACGGGAAATAGTAGTTATTAGAATTTCAAAAGCTGCAATTTTGCGATGCGCGGAAAATAAAAGTTATATGTTTACCCGGGGTAAGCAAGAAAAGCGCAACAAATTATCCTTTGTTCGGAGAAACTGCATAAATGATTACGGAATGAGAAGCGCGAAACTGTCACTTTATCGAATGACAAAGCCGAACCGTCATCTTGTGACTCCCATTAACTTCGCGACATGATGTGGCCTTTACAGAAAAGGCGTGAATCGATTTATTTTGACGTGCGGACGAGCGGCGTCAAGGCAACGCGTGAGAAGGACTGTCGTAGAATTTAAACCCCTTTGGCACGTAAACTTTGTACCTTGACTACCAATTAACTTCTCGCTGTCACGGAAGCTACACGCGTTTGACATGGACCCGATAAAGTTCACAAGAAACAGTTTCGATGAACCGTTTTTTCTGCCGTACGTGGGTCGCGTGAGGGTGATTGAGGAGCTGCGGTGCGAAAATCGAACCCGATATTGCCAATTTCCTTTCAGCAAAGACAACGTATTTAAACTATCCATAAAAATGTCAAAAATTGACTCGCTTCATATTTACATCGTAATATCTTTTCTGCGATAATTGTGTTGTATTGTACATTCTATTATAACTAAATCGATTATACATAAAAGATAAATCATTAAATGTAGGATATTGGATTTTTCAAACAATTTTCCACAAAGTCTCGTGTAAATATCGCGCAGCAAATGCTGATAAATAATTTAATTTGAAGCTTAAAAAAACAAATAAGTTATTTATTTGTAAATTAATTCTTTTTTTTTCACAGAATATTTTAGATTAAATAACTTTACATTTTTTTTTTCTTCAACTATATATATATAATAAAATTTTTTCAATCACAAAGATCTCCAATTATGAAGCATTCTCAATATAGCGAAAAATGAGAAACAAAATAGACTTACAATTCGATCGTGTAACCTAACTAAACACGAATAAATCGGTGCTATCACTTCTCGAGCTGGTCGTTCAGAGAAACTTTTAATGGAATTTAAAGCGATAATAAAGTTATGTGAGCTGATCGGAACTTCCGTCGTCGGCAACTGAGTGTGCAGTTCGATTACGGCACGGCCGACGGGCAGAGCGAGCGATCGCAAATATGCTAATCCAATATACGTAATTTTCATGTGATCTCCTCTATTTCTAGAGCAACCTGATTGCGTTTTTTAAAAGGAAAAAGAAGGTTGTAGCGTGGCTGCGCGACGATCAATAGCTAGTCCTCCTCATTTTAAATCAGTTACGTAACATTATCATAATGGGACTAATTATGCACTGTAATATATCAATTATTTCATATAATAAATATTCTATACTGCGTAAATACGATGATAAATGATTAAGTACGCACATTCAGCAGCGTTCAGCAGCAGCAGCGATATATTGAATAATGAACATATCGTTCTCTGTGATCAAACACCCGCATTAAATGAAGACTTGACATAAAATATTGTAATTAAAAATTGAAATCTCAGTGAATCTGATAATATTAATAGAATAATAATTTATTTAGTTAAAACAGACTCCAGAGAAAATACTATTCATGTTTTAAATCTCATTAAATGTTCTTGTGAATAAGCGAAAATTTAAAACCACATTAGCCTTGACACATAGAATTTTTTTCAAGCACAATTTTCTGAAAGTGTGACATTTACATATTTTATATGTCAAATCTTCATGCATATATGAAATGTCCTAGAAATCATGATATTATTTTTTAATTTTAATCTAACTTGAATTTATGCGTAAACAAAATCTGAAAGAAGAGATCATTTGTTATAATTTTAAATATTCAGCAATGAGCAACAATTTGTTAATTAAAACTAGCGTTGAAATATTAAAGGAATAAAGTTGATTGACATTAAGAATAGAGTAAAACAAAAATAAAATTTTATTTATAATTTTAAAACTTTGATCTTTAGAAAGCTTATTTTCTTTGAGGAACAACAAGCAAGATAAAAGTAAAGCATTATTTAATTGCTTTCCAAAACTGTAATCTTCAGGGAAAATTTTCTGTCTACAGTCTTATGAAATAACTCATAAAAATTGCTTTTCTTCTTACATTTCGGTTAATGAAAATCGACGGCTGATCGACGGCGTCAGAAATAAAATCTATTTTTCCGGGACGTATTGTAACCCATATTCAGTAATCCGTGTGTTTATAAAAACAAAAATACAACGCTCGAAAACTCATGGAAGTGTCACACGCACTTCGCGACTGAATGCGTATGCAATAATCGGCGTATGAAAAAAAAAAAAAAAAGAAAAAAAAACAAAAAGTGAAACGCATATATCACCCGGAAACTCTTTAACGTGCGTGTGATATTACTCTCCCGACATACAAACCGAGCTACGAAGAAACTCGATAAACAGCCGCGTGGCGCCTTGCCGTGCGTCCTTGCCTTGCACGAGCGACGCCGGCACCTAGATCCTGCGAGGGAAAAACCACCACTCACGCGACATTAAGCAACACACCGCACTCGTGCGTGCCTTGCGAGCGTGTTGGCAAACGAAGTTCTGTACGCAATCAATTTCATCGTTTGCGTGCCGTTTCGTCAAGCAGCGATCGAAATCGTTATCAACGTAATTGAAAAAGCGTCAAAAATTGTTTACAATATCTATAGTAATTAATCAATTAGTAAAAAGATATTAAAAATAAAGTGACCCTCTCTCTAATTAGAGAAAGTATTAGGCATATAAAAAATTAATCATCTAATTTTGATGAAAGCTGCCTTTAAAAATTAAAGTTAAATTCACAATTATGGCTTAATTGTATCGTACGGTTGTTTGTGGCATTTGAGTGTAAATGTCGAGGACGAATACGCGCGTCGGCCTTCTGAACCCATCACCTTTCTGAACAATCACAGGAATTTTTATTGCAAAAACTAACATGCGATTATAGGTCAATCAATGTGCTCGCGATTGAACATGAGCTAAGCATGGCCACATCTCTATGGAAATACTCCAAGCAGGGTCGATTCTCTCTCACGGCGACCTTGGCCTTGTCGCCACACCTTTACTTCTCCCCTTTAATTACCGCTCGTGTCTAACTTTCTACCTTTGCGCTGTCCCTATTACATCCTCAGCGCAAACCGTTCCTTCCCGAGAATGTCTAAGCTGTTAATTACCTTCTCCGTTACTCTCCATCCTGGAGGCTGTGTTGACGGTGTCGCCGAACAAGCAATATCTCGGCATCTTGAGACCCACTACGCCGGCCACGCATGGTCCTGCAAACAAACACATGTACCGCGATGATATTCTATACCTTATTTTTATTTCTACTGTCACCGAGAAAAACAAAATTGATTGGAAATTTGTAAAAATATTTGAAAAGGAAGAAATATAATTTTTCAAATGTTTGTAAGATGTCTGAAACAATTTTTCCAATTTTTTTCTAGAAACAGGTTTTCTCTTTAGATCATCATTTAAGCATTACAACACCCTTTCAGTTTCTCTGACGTAATTTTGTAAAAACATTTCCGCTTTTTCCTTCGGCGCTATTTCTTCCATTCTGTTAAAAATACTTAAAAGGCTAATTCTTTACTTTAAAAATGTTAAAGAGCAATTATTTTCATGAGTCTGGAAAAGCCGCACCGTCTAGACATTATAGTCTGAGTCTATTTAATAAGCAATTAACTTTATCAATTATAAGCTAAGTGCTTCACAGTAGACATCAGTCAAAATCGCCTTTTCTCGTAAGACCGACGTAATCTAAGTTCCGAGATCTTAAGATGTTGTTTCGAAAACGTATGACATTTGCAACGTGATGTCACCGAGAAAAATTTAACAAGAGATAAAAGCAGGATGAGAGTTAGTATCCAGAAAATGAAAATTTTACAGTAATAGTCGCATAATGGCCCGAGGGTGACTCAAGCATGCAATCAAAGTCAAAAATTTATGAAAGCAAGATAAACGATGATATTGTTGAGCGGGAAATACGATCATTCATTCTTTTGTAGCAGCAGATAGTTGTTAATTTTTCAACAGTTCCATTTTCAGATCAATTTCGGTCGCATCGAGTATTGTTTTCAACAAAAATGTTCGATAAAAATAAACTCCAAAAAAGTGGACAGTTATTTTTTAGAATATCACGTTACTGTATGCAGCTATTTTTTATTTGATTTTTGACTACTCGTGATATCGAACTAAAGTGTTTCTGACTTATGCAATACACAAACAAAAAATGAAATCAATTCAGAATGTCCTTCTTTATGTATGTTGAATGCACTATTAACAGAACAAAACAGTAAAATGGAAACAATTTTGTTTTTAGGAATAAAATGTTATAATAATACAAAGTGTATTACATAATTTTTTGCTGTCAAATTTGAATTTATGAATTTTTAAGCCTACTATAGACACAAAGCCCCATATCTTGGCAAGTTCAAAATCATGTTACGATCAATCTTTCTCTGCTTCATGACAGCGGAGAAGAGCAAAGTGACAAACTTTGTGATAAAGTGTTGACTCACCAGAATGCATGCCAATGCGAAGCTTCAATTGCTCGTTTGGTCTATGGCGAATACTGAACGTCATTACGGTATCCCTGAGGGCTAAGCTCATCCTCGCGATCTCTCTGGCGTGATTCATGCCGTTTCTCACTGGTAATCCTGATACGACCATATAAGCATCCCCTATCGTTTCCACCTGAAAAAAGAGTTGAAAAAATCCGATGTGTTCCTGATAAAAAATTCAATGCCGCAAAAAAAGAGTAAAAGCACGTTTGTGTACAATTTATTTCTTTCGTTTGCGCGTTAATGCGGTATGTGTTTTAAATTTTTATTCAGAAAGATACGAAAAAACCTTTACACAAAAAAAAAAAAAAAAAAAAAAAAAATAACACTTTCCTAGTAAATTTATTTAAATTTACTTACCTCTCATAGTTTTCGTTTAGATTGCATGGATTAGTTATGAGAAAGAGATGTTGGAGAAAAAGAAAAGTCTGCAAAAATGGTGCTTTCGTATTTAACAAAGACATCAAGATTTTAAAAAGTTTATAATAACAATAAAATTAAATAAACGGACAAAATGAAATAGACGGATTAAGAGAGATATATTTAGAAGTATTATGAAACGGAATACGCGAACAAGAATCCTACAAAAAGAGATAAAAGAGAGCAATTTTATTTCTCGTAGAACTGCCTTCAAAGACTTTTGCAATTATTGAAAATATATCCATAAAATAGTTACAAAGCTTTTTAAAAAAAAAAATTGTTACACACACGCATGTAATATTAATTAAAATTTTATTTCAATTTCTAGCAAAAGATACTTTTTAAATCTATTCAAAGTTGTACGGGGAAAAAAAATAAATTTCCAAATTCATTATCTAAATAAAGTTATGACAACTGCTTAGCAATTCATGTTTAAAACATTAATGAAAGTGTAAACGATAAGTAGAAGTGTAAAGTAGAAGTCTCTATTTACTTTTGATATTTAATATTCTATAAAAACGAATAGAAAGTTCAAGGATGAAAAGAGCAAGAGAAAGTTTAATCCGTAATTAGAGGAAAGTAATGGGGTTTAGCAAAACCAACACACTGCAATAGAGATAGGATATATATAGCCACGGTAATCAAATAGCTATCATGCGCTCTCACTCTCTTTCTCTCTTTCTCTCTCTCTCTCTCTCTCTCTCTCTCTCTCTCTCTCTCTCTCTCTCTCTCTCTCTCTCTCTCTCTCTCTCTCTCTCTCTCTCTCTCTCTCTCACTCTTTTTCTCGTTGTATCAAGGGATGCTATTTAGACTGTAAAATTATAAAGACTTTGGAAACTAAAACACTAGCGCTCTTTATTGGTTAAAAATCCTACGCGCCTTTACGCTCGTTTAATGCAGTTATTTCCATTACGTTAATTAAATAATCTTGTAAAGTGTCCTCTCCTTCGGCAAAAAGTGTTGCATTGCCGCAACCCACGCAAATTTGTTTTATTATATTCTACTTTTATTGCGTTTTTATTTAGATACTCTATATTAATACTTCCGATACATTTATGTATTGTATTTCTTTTCTACCATCCATCGTTATAATTTTCTGAAGACACGTAAATGTTATTACACGGCAGAAAGTTTCGAGTCCACGCACGGTAATCGCGTTCTTTTCAAAGAAAATCACTCTCCTAAGAAATCAAGGGCCATTTATCCTCCAGAATTGCCACGCTTATCTATCTGTCACGCGCGTTCATCTTAAGGGGTCAAATATCTCACTATAGATTCTAAATAACGCCACGTGGAGCACTTTGTAAATATAGCATCGGGAAATCTTGAGCTTGATTCAATGCGAAATACAGCGTGTTGGCCGAGCAATATGTTGCTCAGGATGATCGCTCACTCCGAAAGCGGACAATGCTGGAAAAGTGTAGGAGGGAAATAACTATAAAAGAAAGAAGAAGAGAGAAAGAAAGAGAAAAAAATCAAGAAAAAAGAGGGGACTGGTGCAAAGTTTCTTAATTGAAGAAGTCGGACTTTCGCGAACAAAAAAACTTGTCGAAACAATGAACAAGAGCATCCATCTTTTCGATAAAACTGCGCCGAAGGAAGCTTGGATATTGTGAACGTAAAGCTACCGCACGGTTTACAGTGCCTCGTTTGCGAGCGAAAGTTTGCCGGCCGGCACCGGTAGTACTCCGGCTAGCGCTAACTTTATTACTCCGTTAAAATATTCATCCCTTTAACAAAGGTTAAATCATTTCCATATTACATCCCGGATTCGCTTAAGGCAAGTCAATACTTACCTTGTAAACGTCGAAGTTCTCGATAATTGAGTCGAAACACGTGTAGAGGTCGTTCAGCAGATCGACCACCTGCAGAGGCGTACTCTCGGCTGACAGGCTCGTGAAACCCACAATGTCACTGAAGTAGATTGTCACTTGATCGTATGTCTCGGCGATTACACTTTGTCCAAGGATCAGCTGCGACGCCACTGATCTGCTCGCAGAAGAAACACGTATCTTTCGCAAACGGTAATAAACGGAAAGAAATATAAGAATATATTAAGAAAAAGGATGATTTTGAGGAAGATAGTACAGCAAAATGATTTTAGCGCACTCGGATCCTCCAAAATATTCAATTCCAATGATAGTTTTCGTGATAAATTAAAATTTTTTTAATATATGAGAAAAATAATAATTTTTTCGATAAGCTTTGCTGAAAAAATTAATGTTATCACTATTTTGAACTGTGCGATAAAATAAACCTTATAGAAGTTAATTTAAAAAACTGGGCAAAATTAACGTTCTCTGTATTTCTATTACTTTCTCTAAAATATGTTACAAAATTTTAATTTATATCATATATACTTTTTTATGGGAGCAAAAGTTTTAATTTATATGTATGTACTTTTTGAGATTAAAAAAATTAACATGTGGAATTTATAATTTTTTCACAAATTCTGTAAAAAATCTTGATGTAAATTTTTTCTGTAAAAATTATTTCAATTAAAACGAACAATGAAGTTAGTTCAATTGCGGGTATAAGTTCAGTTTTGGTTATTTCGCAAATATCAAATTTTCCGACACGCATTTCGTGTCACAGTGATATATCGCGATACAATATCGGTTAAATGTGACACGGTAGTTCGCTAACTGTATCACGTTCGACAAAAGAGTTATCGTCCGCGAGGGACGAGCGATGATAAAGTTTTCGAAGCTCTCAACAAAATTCCCTCGTTCCTCACACAGCCCTTTTATCTTTGTAAAGTTCATTAAGACTCACGTATCTACTTGTTAGCAAGCAGTTAGACGAGGCACGTTAACCGCGCAAACGCCGCAAAATGACATAGTTTCATTTGCGAAACGCGAACTTTCGGTGCACATACATATTATCCTCCCTTTGACGAAATCCCGTCAAAGAGAAATGTTTTTGACGTGTTTACATCCGCGATATTCCTGTTGAATTGACTACAGCGCGGATGACGTAAAAGGATGACGATGATATTCTCAACGTTGCTGTCTAAAATCGCGCTCGCAGAAATATGTAATGTTACCGTGCAAACGGAAAACTCTGATTGCGTTATTATGCCGTAACAACCGCGGAATAACTATGCCAATGAGATGCTACATGCGTCGCGGAAGTTGCTTGGGTCAACAAATTATTTCGAGACTCCTTACATTTTGCATCGTCCCAGCCACCGCGTGGGGCCTTGAATATAAATTAAAACGACACAGTTTCCCGTATAATTACGTCACAGTTTTGCAAATTATATTTCATGGTGACGCTCTTAGGAAATTATCCCGTTCGCTTCTTTATTGTCCTGTTGCTCCTGTCATACGCACAGAAAGCGATTAACTTTTTTTTTCCCCGAGATCAGTTTCAATTTTAAGGTTGACCAAGTTTCGTTAACCATCCGTCTGATTGTGCCCGGCTGCGTTCGAGCAAATCAATACCACTGATTTATTCCATTTCCATATTATACCGTTCAATTTTGTACCGTCTGTGAAACGAAGGAATCCTTTCAGCCGTTATTTTACATCACGAGTTTTTGCGCTTTGGTGTAAAAAAATATTATATTATATTCTCAATTGTTATTACCTTCGTTTGCGTTAATTAGCGGTTTTAATTCGACTCGGTAGGACGAGTGTTTGTGCACATTTATATCCAGTTGATTTATGTCCGAATTAGATTAGCATATTTCTGCCATTAAAGCTCGGTAAATAATTCACGTAGAAAAAAATGGCGCTGTCATAGATGCAGTCACGAAAGCAAGCAAAAAAAAAATCAATTCGAGTCAACTGTAAAGCAAATTGAAATTCTTATAGAATTTAATTAACCGAATTATTCGAATCATTCGGTTAAATAAACAGTATTAAACTATCATTAACTATGACAGGAAATTCAATATACAAAACAAATATGAAATGCATGGCAAAGATAATGCATACATATCCGGGAGATTGAAATATTTCGAATCAAGAAACTCGTATCCCGGATTTCTCCCGAGCATCCCTACGATATGACTACTTGAATATTTAGAGCCTTAAAGCCAAACACGAGAGATGCTCGAAATGAATTCGCCGCGAGACCTCGCGGCAAATAAACTGGCGATCTTTGAGAAAACTCTACTTTATTCGCGTTACGCGGAACTCACTTAGGTAACAACTGGTAGAGGAGTTCTTCACATTTGCGTTTTTCCTCGAGATAGTCCGCCGTGCGTTCTTCCACCAACGTTTCTAAATTCGTGGCGTACTGCTCCATGCGGGATAGCAAATTATCCAGGATATTGCTGCTTTCGTAATCCCTGAAACAGCCAAATGCTCTTCATGTTTAATTGTAACTTCGGCAGCGGGAAGTGGAATAGTAAAAATAGAGCGCAACAGAATAAAATATTAAACAGAATGTCGCGTGATCGGATATCGATAGTGAGACATCGATATCTGTCATTAATTACGAGCGATGAAGGGAAATTCTTGGATTTAATCGCGAGCTAGAGCAATATTGTTTGTGAGAAGCTACCCTCTCTAACGCCGCTCTCAAGTGCGTGGAGGATAGGACAACCCATAATCGAGACAGCGAATCTTCGCAAAGACGATTAATCCAATAGCCGCGATTGTGGTCGACAAACGTCATACCTGTGTACATCGCTCAAGTATAGGAGACCGATATTGAGAATTGTTTTCGATCGTAATAATCAACTCCCAGTGAAATCCAGAGCTAAGATAACTACTTCATTTAAAATATTATTAAATACAATCCTTGGTTTCACGCAAATAGGTATAATCTTTCAGCAATATGATTTATGAAAGAATAAACGATTGAATCAAATAGAGAAAACATTTATTTTTCTGTTTAAATATTGATCATTAAGATATGAAATCAGAAAACATTTTTGCTACTATAATACTTATAAATTTTAATTTCACTTACAATCTGCAAAAAATCCTTTTCGTAATAAAAAAAAATTTTGCAGTTTTTTCTGAAGTACAAACATGCACGAAAAGAAAGAATAGCCTCTAATAGACTACTAGCTTTTTAGAAATAATGTCTGAAGTTTCACACAGAATTAATGAGTTGCTTTTCAATTTTCTTTAGCATAAAACACTGCTCTGCATTAAGAAAAACAAAGAAAATATTATGCTTTCTATAAAAAAGAAAATCTTAAAATACACAACAAAGATTTAGACATTATGCGAAAAAAAAATTCGGAACAAGTTTCCGAAAAGTCATTAACAAAAATTGCAGAAATTCATTAAGTAACAATAAACATCATAGTAGGTATATACACATATATTAAATTTACAAAAGTAATAATTAATATTTTTGAATTAATTAACAGAACTATTAATATAGAAAGAAATAATAATGATAAAAATAAAAATAATAATTGCCGCAATTTCTCTTTTAAAATATAATAAAATAAAAATTTTCACGATCTAGAATTTCTTGGTGATAAAAAAGCCGATTGACTATAACTTAGAAATATTGATTCCATCAGAAACTCATATAAGTTCAGAATGTCAAGATTTCTTCGCCTACTTTTGCGGAAGAATGAGCAAAACTGTTTTTGGTAGAAAAGGTCTACCTCTCGAGGATTATCAGAGTAGACTGACACAATACAATACACATTCCGGGGATAATAGAAAAGGACGTGTCAAATCGTCGACACTCGCTGAAGTATCATTTAGTCGTTGTCAAACGTCAGCTATCAACTGTTCGGTCGGATTTCACTGGATAAAATAACGACATCCTTGATAGCAATGTTCACTGCTGTACAGATTTTCGGGATAAGTTTTCACATGTGCAAATATAATTTTGCTCTGCAAAGGATTATGATGCGGATTAAAAATACTGGATCGTCGAACGCGTTTGTTTGCGAACTGAAATTTTTCTGAATAATATAAAAAATAAATCGCGATTGGTTATTTAGCAAAATAATGATGAATCGTGCGTTTAGAAATTTTATTTTAAAAGACTTGTCCGAATCAATACATCACGTCATTTTATAACAGCAATTTATTAAAATTCATGATTTAAAATGCGTTTTATATCATCTTAAGAACAAGCAGCTTATTGCAAAATTAAAAACGCGACAGAAGAGATTACAGCTTTTATTGTGCAAACAGATGTATAAGTCGACGCTATCATTATTATCTGCATAATAACGCGCACATCATTTATTAAAAATTAGCGATTCATTTAATATAGAAAAATTAAAAAATGCACATCAAAGAGACAAAAATTAATGAAATTTTTATGCCTTCGCGGCTTCGTCCAATCTCATGGGTTCAGCGAAATGCGATAGATTCCCGCGGAGCATGAAAACTAATTGGATCAATCAGTTAAAATTTTATTTTAAAGTATCTGAAATTGTATCTGCAAATTAAGAGGCGCAGCCTTATTCAATAATAATCCATCAAAATAAAAGTTTTATAAAATATGCAATAAATGTGTTAACATTTCCATAAAATTGTCACGCGCGGCGCAATGTAATTTTATAAAATATGTTAAAAAATAGTTATTTTACATAAAAAATTAATTAATTAATCTTTAATCAATAAATTAATCTTTTTCATTAACAGAGAAAGATATATTTTATTTTTTACATGAATAATATATTTTAGCGTGTAATACTCTTTCTTGCAGTAGCGTATCAGTGATAATTAATATGTATATAAAATATCTTAGATTAACCACATCACGCGTTAATAGCAAATTTCTGAGATTTCTCACATAAAAAGGATATAAAAATTAATATGCGACGTGCCTTTCTGCTCATGAATTTTTGATAATCTAATTGATCAACTTTAAACACTTCGCATTTAAAAAATTCCTATAGTCTCGACATTTTGATAAAAGATTTTTGTCTCCAAATAATCTCAGGAATCCACTATTAACGGGAGACAAGATTAGTCTGGGATCCGTACTTTATTAAAATCATAAAAAAAACAAAATAATCTTAATGTAGTCCAGTCTACACTTTACAGCGCATAAAATATACTAATTTTATTAATAATTATAAGACTGGAAGATTCAAACGTGGATAAAGTTAATTTGTAAAACGCGTTAATTATTCATGTAATCGAGTGTGCCGAAGCTTTTCGCTTGGCTTCATATAAGCAGAAAAATTCGATTTTGTGCACCAGAACTTTTCTAAGATCTTGAATAAATCCGCGAAGTTTGCGCGCACATTACTTTCTCCAACAATACCTCCAAAAGAACTTGTAAGATTTTCTTTTCTTACTCTGATCTTTTTCTCGTCAGCGAGTAATGTTTTTAAAAAAAAAGTATTACTGGCTTTGCCAAGTATTTTCTTCCCTACTTTGAAAATAACTTTTTCTATATTTCACTTACAATTTTTTCAAATAATATTTTCGCTCTGTACTTGAAGTGATATTCATAGAAATTAATCTTTGACAAGAGGAACGTACTTTACTGCTTGCATTAAATGTTATGTTTTATTTTGCAAATTACGGATAGCTGACAGCGATGTAAATTTCTCCGTGGATGAAATTCAAACAGAAAGCAAGGAAACCCTCTACTTGGTTTACTAGCAGTTCGTGACTAAAATGATAAGCAAATTGCTGCTCTACCACGCCGCTCTACAGCCACCGCTCAATTTGCGAGACGGAAAATTTCTCGAAAAGTATCCATTTTCCCGAGATGATATCTGAGCTTTACATAAAATATTTCAATTAGCAGTATACTATATTAAGTAAGCAAATATTTTACATAATTAAACAATAATAAATATATACAAGCGAAGTTTAGGAAAACTCGTGAGACAAAGCTTGTAAGATAAAACCAGAAAATTGGACACAATTATAAGCTACATCTCTGTGATTCTCTGGCACATAATTTATAATAAAACTCAGGAACATATAATGAAAGGATCGGAAGACTTGCATTTCACTTCGCGACCTTAACATGATACAGAGGCTTGCGTGGGCTTGTTTGCGTAATTTCCTTACGAAGTATCGAACGCAATTATCTCGTTCAATCTAGTTCACGACTTGCAGCGTAGCGCACGAGTAAGTGCGGCAAAGCGCACGTGCGCTAGCGTTAACGACAGGCCTATCTCTGAGCACACAGAAAATGCACGTGTACGTAGCTGTGCAGGAAGTCACGCCACATAATCGTCTTTCAAAGAGGTGCCGTAATCATATTAGTGTTGGAGATTGGTGCGCGATGCTCCAAAATGCAACTCGAGTGCCATCACTCCAAGACGATTTTATGGCACTTTTCACTGATGGCCGATCAATGATGGTTATTATAACTTCTATAAATATTAAATTGCTTCAATCAAATGCCTCCCACGCGATAAAAAGACGATGTTATATGTTTCGTTATGTTTCCCTTCTGAGAAAAACTATCTTTAAATTGATACAAAAATATATATGAATCAAAAGAAAAATGCAAAGAGCTTGAAACTTAATTGACTTAATTGACAGACGCGACATAAGAATGGAAAGGAATATATTAATATCATTTTTTTTTTCCTATTAAGCACTGAATTTACAATGCTCTCAGAGTGAAGAAGTAACTAAAAATTAAAAATTAGAAACCATACAGAGATTATGGCGGGCTCTTCTATAATAATGAAAATACATTAAAATATGAGCTAGTAGAGCCAGAGCAGGGTTTTTAAGTGCTCAATTATTTATTACAAAAGCATAGTACAAACGTTTCGACCATTGTATTTGGCCTTCTTCAGTGTACATTGGATTAAATTAATTTAAATTTAATTAATTTAAAAAATTCTTTAGTAACGTAAAAGATATGTAAGAACGCAAACGCATGACAGGTATGCTTACAAGGAAACTGACCCAAGTGTCGCCCTCTGATTTTGACGAGCTTTAAATATGTTGTAAAGTATTATATCTCATAATAAGAGACACGTATTTTTTTTTTATTTGCGTTCTCGCACGTTTAGGATTGAAACAACTCCTACAAGCTAAAGCGGTCTATTTGGTTTTGACTGAATATCGTCAAAACTGTAAGAAATATCAAAAAATTCGAATAAAAGTTGCGTGGTCTTTTATGAGCTTTATAATCGCGCAACTGGATTTTTAAAAAATTTTATATTTTTTAATTTACCCCCAAAACATGAGAAGTAGCGAAGGACGAAACTGTCTTTTATAGTCGCTTTGTATTATACAAGTTCTTGTTGTACATAATTGAAACTTTTTCTTCTTGATTTATTGTCCAATATAAATTAAATAAAACAAAATGAGAGCTAGCCCTAACACGATCCACAGTTCGCCAGTCCTGTCAGATTCAAAATCGGAGTTCGTTATAAACCGA